ATAAATAGAAACAATCAGGATAAAATTTTTATGATGTTTAGCTCGATTAATTTAAATTTTTTATTCTCTCCAAATTATTAAAAATAGTTGAATGAATTAAAGTAAATCAAATTTCAATAAAAGAAAAAATATTACTTTTACTCATGTTACTTTAGAAAATATTTAATGGAGGGAGGATTATGCATTGGATAAAGGTTTGGATAAGAGATATTTGCCCTTCTGCAAATAAATTTGGAGGATAATTAGTGTATCGGGCTATTGAATTACAACAAGAAAAATTCATACATGAATGAAAGTAATAATACATTTATTTTACAAATAATAATAATAATAATATAATATAAGAATTGTGCAAAATAATAATGTATTTATTTAGAATTTTATTTAATCCGATTTGTTAAAAAAAGTTGAATGAATTAAAATAAAGCATACTTCAATAATTCAAAATATTACTTTAATTCATGTTATTTTAAAGAATAATTAATTTTAAAGGATATCTATTATAAAGATATTTAATGAATGGAGGATTGTATATTGGATAATGATTTGGATAAATGATATTTGCTATAATGCGAATGAATTTGGAGCCTGATAATTAGTGCATCGGGCGTTTGAACTAAAATTCATACACGAGTGAAAGTAATAATACATTTAATTAATGCAAAATAAAAATTAAAATAATATAAGAATTGCGCAAAATAATATTAGTTATTATATTATACAAGGATGTTATGTATTAGATACTATACTACGCCACAGGTTTCGAGTTTGAGACCCGGTGGTGGCATAGATGTTTGTAGTGGTTCGAAATCATTTTTAAACCGTACGTCCTGGCCTACTATGATTGTTGAGAGTAGGATTGACAACTCTACCCAGTAAAAAGGAAAACATCTTCTGTTTTGGAATCTGCCAGTGTCCAACATACCAAGGAGTTAGTTATATATCTATAAAATACGTTATCCATTTTTTAAAATGGGTTATGTTAGTGTGGTTTGAGATTTCGATGTTTCCAATAAAATATATGTCACAAAAAAGTAAAATTTCATTTAAAATATCAATTTATATATTCATGTATCAAAAAAAAATATTACACGAGGTTCACAAAATTAAGTGGTAACCGTCAAATTATAAAACAAATACATTCCAATGCACTGGGCTTGATTTTGAACTATTTATGGTCGTTTAGTGAAGAGAACGCGATATTTGTTTAAGTTAACACAGATCTAAAAGTTACAAATATTTATGAGTATATCTATATAACTTTTTGGTGCTTAAGTAAAGTTAAAAATTAAATTTCAGCTTTTCTATGGGTTTCCTTAAAATAAAACAAATTAAATTGGTAGAAAATTACATAGAATAAAATAACCAAAAAATAAATCAATGATTTTAAACATTTTAATGAAAACTGTGGTAATGTCGATAAAAAAGTGGAGAATAAAATAAAATAGTACACATCGATATAAATAAATAGCTGTAAGATAAAGCTGAATTTTCTATTTTATTTAAGTAAATTTGTCAAATATAATGTTCTTTTTTTTGTCATATAATATCTGTAAAAAAACTATTGAATTCATTTTGAAAAACACGAAAGAATTCAAACATATGTTTATGTCAGAATTTATTTTTTCCCTTCAAAAATGAAGAATTCTTTTCAACCAAAATTCACTCCATCACTACTTTAAACTTTGACATCGAATTTTTTTCCCCATGCATGCACGAGGGATACTTTTTGAATGATTGACAGTTAAGTGGAAAAACAAGCATCGTTTTTCCTCTTGTGCTCTGAATTTTTTGCAAAAGTGTTGAGTTCTGGTCAAATGTGTCAATCGCAAGCATTCATTAATTATTGAGATTGGTAAATTTTTTTCCATCATTTTTTTTGAAATTGCAACACAAAATTTATTTCCGAATGTTGCTGTCTTTTAAATTCTAATATTATTTTTTAAAGTTTCTATGAGTATTTTTGAAACTATTTTACATATTCTACATTATTTTTATCCCACTTACAAAAAAAAATTATATCCTCACTATTCTAATTCATTTTTTTATATTTTACTACATATATATTGCTAATTAATATATATTGCTGCCGAGTGACTAGCGCTTTGGATCTCGAAGCCACAGGTTTTGAGTTTGAATCCCGGTGGTATCATGGATGTTTGCAGTGGTTCGGAATCCACTTTAAACAGTAGGTTCCGGTCTAATATGAATGTAGGGCTTCGGGCTGACAACCTTGCTCCGTAAAAAGAATAACATTCCCCTGTCTCGAAATCTGCCAATCGGCATACGCCTTTGCCCACCATGGGCCTGCTGCGTCACTGCTGCTGCTGCTGATGATATATTGTTCACTCTTTTCTGCAGTAAGTTAATCACTCTTTTCTGCAGTAAGTTTAATTATAAAAGCCTTTTTTTCTGTAAAATGTTTTAAATTGTAAAATTTATATCCGATTGATATTTAATGAAATAATTGGCAAATTAATACAAATATAATTCAATAATTCAGCTCACTTTACTAAGCCTTAGGCAATACAAAAAAGACAGAAACAGAAAAAAAATACACATTGATAGGAAACTAATAAATATGTTGGTGATTTTTTTTATTTTCATTTAATTAGTCATCATCTGTGGCGCAACAGCACCATAGTGGGCCAAAGCCGTCTGCCCACTGGCAGATTTCGAGACAGGAGATGATTTTCTTTTTACAGGGTAGGGCTGTCGACCCTACAATTAATTAGTATTTTTCATAATTATATGTTTTTGAAATTGTTTAATTAATTTTATCTATTCTGTAAAATGCTTTAGATTTGTAAATATACTCCTGTAGTATCCTCTCTCTAATGCGCCAGGCCGTACGGTGTTAGCAATTTTGCCGAATTAACGAAAGTCAATATAGTTTTAAGCGGGATATCAAAGATAAAGCACTATTAATAAAAATTTAAACGACTAAAACATGTTCAAATTTAATGTGTTTACACACTTTCTGAAGTCGTGTAGGCAATGTAAATATTTGACAATAGATATATGTCGTCATTCTGTGAGCAGTGTTGCTTCGTTATTTGACGATTAAAATCAACAAACACCTTAATCCATACGAGAAAAATACGAAAGCGTAGGCTCGATCGATGGGGATTATAGAATGTGCAGAACTATAGAATGCCAAAATTAAGAGAGTGTACTGTGCTTGTACAATACTGAAAATATAGCTAAGATGGCTATCTTGGCGGTAATTTGGCTACCGGTCGTACAAGTTGTCTGATAATGTTTTCTGATCAATATTTTTCGAGTATATACTCGAACAGGCACACAACAGCTATTGTAGTGGTGTGGGTACGGGCAATCAGATTGCAACTAGATTTAGTTGGATTGAGATACTTGAGGTACAGGTTGGAGAACTTATAGATTTATTTACACATGCACCAACACCACACACTTACAAAGAAAGACATACAATATTAAAGACATAATTATAGATTTAATAAATATTAAAGACATAATTATAGATTCGTGGAAGATAGTAAAAAATAGAGGCAGGCTGCGCAAAAAATACTTCCTCTCCGGGTAAGAGTCTATAGGCCAACAGAGCATTTCTTCTGAACGCCATTGGGAACACTATTGTCAGTGGGTAAGAGGAAGCATGGTTACACTACTAGTTTCTCACTTGCAAAGCAAAGGATTGTTTCGAAAGATATAGATCATTCAATGAACCCTGAGAAGAACTAGCTTATTGTCAGTAGAGTTTCTTCCAATGGCCATACCATGCTGAATACACCGGTTCTCGTTAGATCACCGAAGTCAAGCATCATTGGGCGTGGTCAGTACTTGGGTGGGTGACCACCTGGGAACACCGCGTGCCGTTGGCATTCACAAATTTGGGATCTGAATGGCCGAGTGTCTAGCTCTCTGGCGCTCGGTGTCACATGTTTCGGGTTCGAATCCCGGCGGTGCCATGGATGTTTGTAGTGGTTCGGAATCCACTTTAAGCCGTAGGTCCCGGTCTCCTATGATTGTCAGAGCGTCACGGAGCCAAAGTCAGACTTCTATCTACGGGTGCTCCATCACAACAGAAGCTGCTTCCTTCCCCTTCATTCATGAGTACGTATGGGCTCGTGGGCTTGGCCAGCCAAGTGGGATAAGAAACAACAACAAAACAACAGAGTTTCCGCTGATGCGCGTCAAACTTGGAGAATTTATCTGTGTATTTTATTATAATTGATCAGTCCATCAATTCGTTTTACTTCCATTACACTTTTCAAGTTAAAAGTTAAACTTTTAAAAAATTTTCTTGGATTTTTTTTCCATCTTTATTTTTATTTTTATTAATTATTTTTTTACATTGCGATTTCTACAACCACCTTTATTGAATTTTTAATTCTTATAATTATTCCCACATATCTTCTCAAAAAGATGATTTTTACATTTATGTAATAGAATGTATAATTCATGCAATGTGGTTTTCACATTCTTTTCCACATCGGTGTGGGTGGGGGGAGGGGGGAGGGTGAAGTCGTTGGAAACTTTTCAAATTTAAAAAAGAGTCAAAATGTAAAGGTAAAATTTAGAAGAGAAATCAAAAACGCTTAAGAACCACTACTTTAGCGTATGAGTCTGGATAGGATGAAATAATATTTTTAATTTTTTTAAAAATTATAGTGGCAATAAATGGTGACGATACAGTACGATGTACACATACAATTGTATAAAAATTGTTGTTGTTTGTTGTTTCTTATCCCACTTGGCTGGCTAAGCCCACGAGCCTACACGTACTCATGATTGAAGGGGAAGGAAGCAGCTTCTGTTGTGATGGAGCACCCGCAGGTAGAAGTCCGACTTTGGCTCCGTGACGCTCTTACTGTCATAGGAGACCGGGACCTACGGCTTAAAGTGGATTCCGAACCACTACAAACATCCATGGCACCGCCGGGATTCGAACCCGAAACATGTGACACCGAGCGCCAGAGAGCTAGACACTCGGCCATTCAGATCCCAAATTTGTGAATGCCAACGGCACGCGGTGTTCCCAGGTGGTCACCCACCCAACTACTGACATCGCCCAATGATGCTTGACTTCGGTGATCTAACGAGAACCGGTATATTCAGCATAGCCGTTGATTGTATAAAAATGAATACATTAAGTAGAACAGAGAAAAAAGGATCCTAGGAAATAATAATTCCCCAATATTCTAGGAAATTTTTGAAAAGTTCTTGAAAAACAGAGAGCAAAAAATTATAACATTCCTAATGGAAATATTTCTAAGAAGAGAACAGAAAACTAGAAATGTACCAGTTCGAAAGAGATCCCTCAAGGTAAGTATTCTCAGAATAAAATGGAAAATCGTTATAACTTTTCCATCAGCATTATTAGACACAGTTTTTCGCTCCATACATCCAAGACAATAATAATCTTCAACTCATCATGCCTTATAGAAATAACTCGTTTTATCAGATGGCTTTCTATACTGTAGCAAAATAAAAAAAAATTATTAATCAATTTGCAAAATTATGTGGAAGGTTTCTGTAAGTTGTTCCTAAAGGTTAAGGTTAAAAAGGGTAAATGTAAACGCCTTTTAACCTTAACAAATTTTTTATTACTTCCAAATAAATGCCGAATAACTTTAGCAATCCAAACTCTACTTAAACGTAAAATATTAGATTAAAAAACAACTGGAAGGCAATCATAGAATAAGTCAAAATTAAAACTTTTTATATAAAAATTAAAATGAGATCGAGACACTAAGATTCATCGTAGTAAAATCGAAGAAATAACTCCAAAAACTGTATAAATTTGTTCTAATTCATTCATGTATATATCATAGAATATGATTTTAGATGAATAAATCGGCTGAAAATGTTACGAAAACATTCAACAACTCTTTTAAATCTTTGTTTTTAATGTTGCTATCCTGTTAACCATATTCAATTAATACTACTACTACACCACACCATATCACTGAGTTGCCCCCTTTTACAGTTTGGGAATGATGTGGGTGAGAGAGAAGTCTGATTGGGCTCTGTAACGCTCTACGGTCATAGAAGATCGGGACATACGGCTTAAAGTGGATTCCTGACCTCTACAAACATCCATGGCACCACCGGGACTCGAACCCGATACCTGTGGTACCGAGAACCAGAGCGCTAGCTACTCGGCCATCAGGTCCCAATGGTATTCAATGACAGTATTGATTGCAAAAAAACAAACGAACAAAATTGCAGAATAGGGGCAGCTGGGATTTGGCGTCAAAAATTATTTTCGTCAAAATAAATTTAAGTGAAGTGAATTGAAAACAGTACAAGAAATATGGGTTACCACATTTGGAGACTTAGCTTTCATTTGGCGTCAGAAAAATTTGCGATTTGGCCAACATATGGATAACTTTATTCTTTTATATTTAAATTAAAAAAACAAAGCTGACGATTTTCAATGCAAATTTTATTATTTTATTTTTATTAAATCGCACAGTTCTTTAATACTATTTGAGAATTTTACTTACTAAAAAATATTTTTTTATCAATTAATTATATTACTCAATACAATATTTTGAACTAAAATCCAATGCTTGAAGAAAAAGGATTTATCTCACTGAATCTTCATTAAGTTAGACATAATCTTTAACAAACATTTTAATCCGCGTTTAATATTAAGAAGTTCAATATTATTCGCCCGAGATTAATACCCTGACATCCCATGCCATACCTTTGTGAAAGCTCGTGAAATGGACGCTCGGAATGAGAAGTTCTTGACGCAGATTCTTGGAATCGGGAAGCAATTTCGAAGACAAATGAGCTTCGCACATTTTTAATAGACCTCCATTCCTCACCGATTTGATCCCTCTAGAATTTTATTAATAAATGGCGCTATATTAGTCGCGAAAAGAGAAATGGGGTTATTTAAATTTAACTGAGCAAATAAAAAATTGTGTCAATAAAATTGCATACATTATTTATATTACCATATATTTATCAATATTTAAAAAATTTTCTTATTATTATAAGGAAACTGTCTTTAATTTTTTAACATTTCTTATTGTTTATTTTTGCAACATTATATTTAGTTTTTCAATTCCTTCTATTAGCTCAACATCCTCCCTATATATATCTTGTTCAAATTTTCAATCGTTCATAAAATACTTTTTATTCATCCACTCATGTTCAAATACATTTTTTTTAATTTGTAGTGGATGGCACTTGATGTTAATTCAGTTTTTTCAAATAATAATTCATTAATTAAATTTAATTAATTAATTTTATTACTTTTTTTATTTAAGTTGCTTATATCTACCAATAGATGGCGCCAGATCAACATGAAAAAATGAATGAAAATTATTTATAAAGGACTTTCTGCAATATAGTGAAAAAAAAGTAGGAATCGACTTTAAAATCTTTTTTTTTTTATATTACTTGTTTAAATGTAACTGAGCAAATAAAAATTGTGTCAACAAAATTGCATACATTATTTATATTACCATATATTCATCAATACTTAAAATTTTTTCTTATTATTATAGGGAAGCAGTCTTTAATTTTTTAACATTTTATTTTTGCAATATTATATTTAGTTTTTTTCGTTTAACATTCTAAAGCAACATTTACCCCAAAGCGTTGAGTGACGAGGCTTACAGTATTGACGTATTACCTGCTTTAGGCAAGACTAGTTAGTGATAGGTCGACTCTTATGCCTCGTCGCTCAACATCTTGGTGTGAATATGGCTTAAACATGGTATTAGTAATGTCCATCACACTAAAATAAACACGATCGTAATAAACCCCACGAATTAAATAGCTCAAATTTCATTTTTCTTTCATCATAATTTTTAGTAATTTTCACTATTTATCTTTAGAATGTAAAATTGTAAACGTCTATCTCTAGCCTGTCATATTATATAGCCTGTCATATCATCATATCAGTTACTAGATACTATATAATGGCTGTCCACAGATCCTATCGAAATCTGCAATACTTGCTGAATGAAAAAATTCCATGAAAGTTGATGTTGCAAATTTGGCGATCTAGGGATGTAATTCTTTAGAAAGAATATGGGTGCAACATACGCACCATGAAAATAGTTGCTGCTCATTTATAAGATCTGGCATAACTCGACATTGCTTTGTTTCTCCAATGCTTGTTATAAGAGTAGACCGAGAAAAAAATATGATTCGTTATTAATTTTTTGAAATGGTTTATTTTTTAAATCTGTTATTGCTGTTTGCATTTACTGAATAATTACTACTTTTTTCATTTGTTAAATTGTTATTACTTTTTTGGATTCATTAAATTGATATTGCTTTTGTATTTGTTTATTTTGGTAATTGTTTCGGCAATACTTGACCATTTTTATTGTTTGTTTAGTTTATGGTATGATGAAATTTCTCAGTGATGTTCTTTGTTTATATTAGCATTTAATATTTTTTTTATTAACTGTATGAGTACTTTGGCACAGCTCTAATGTAGCGTAGTATAGCAGAGAAACCGAAGAAAGATATAATCGCAATTTATATGCATAATACTTTATTAACTTTTCATTTAAGTGCCTTTACTCATAAAAAGGAAACAAAATAGGATTGGGCATAAATCCATGGAATTTAATGAGTTGTAACGTAAAATAGATGGAGGCTAAATTGTAAAATTGGGATCGTTGGGATTTGACGACTTTTTTTGTGGCGCAAACGGAGAAATAAGTTGCCAAATGTGGTAACCAAGTTTTCTTGTACTGTGTGCAATTCACTTCACTTACAATTGTAACCCTTTACTCGGCGGAGTTGGCGTCAAAAATTCTTTTCTTTGAAAATAATTTTTGACTTCAAATCCCAATGGCTCCTGTTCTGCCATTTTACCCGGATGGAATAATCTAATAGTTAAGAGCTTTTTATCTACGTCAATAAATATGTGAACTCTACAGTGTTTCATCAAAAAGGTACTCTCTATTTATTTTGAATTAAAAATTTTCTTCTCAATTGGTAGTGTGCGATGTTATAGTCACTATCTTAAAAACAAGTAAAATAAAAAAAATTTTAAAGTCAATTCCTACTTTTTTTTTCACTATATTGCAGAAAGTCCTTTATAAATAATTTTCATTCGTTTTTTTTAAGTTTATATGATGCCATCTATTGGTACATATATGCAACTTAAATCTAAAAAAAACTAAAATTAATTAATTAAATTTAATTACTGAATTAATATTTGAAAAACCTGTATTAACATCAGGTGTCCGCCACTACAAGTTAAAAAAATGTATTTGAACTTGAGTGGATGAATAAAATGTATTTCATTAACGATTGAAAATTTGAACTAGATATATATAGGGAGAGTTTGAGCTAATAGAAGGAATTAAAAAAAACGAATAGACTCATTTAAAAATTACATTACAGTTTTAAATACACATTTTAATTCATCAAGTTATACACCATTAAAAAAAGTAGCAATCTTGTTAAGGGAAAGTTTTCATATAATCCAATTTACTTTTCTGAAGTGTTTAACGGATTTTTATAATCTTCTGATATTCGGGTTTGCATCAACACGATGCAATACGTGGCAGTTATCGATAAAAGTTCTCCTGAAATTAAGCACATAAGTGCTTTAGTAAGTATTAAGTAACTATTTAAATATTACTTTAACTACTTAAATTAAGTGTTTACTACTTAAGTAAGCACATAAAAAAGATTAGAACAAAATAATTATGTACGTTTCATACCTCCACAATCTTACATCATACAGGCAATACATCAGTTGAAGGAAAAACAAAGAAATTAATAGAATTTAGAAAATGAGACTATTAATATTACAAATTCTAAATTCTCAGCCGAAATCAATAGTGTCTCAGTTTTATTCTGTGAATAAGTTGAGAATTTCAGATAATAAATAATCTCGTGATAATGCATTTAAGTTCTCACTTAAAAAATTAACTAAAAAATTAAAAAGAACAGCATCAAATATATTTATATTTTAAATAAAATTTTCAATTGCAGAAGATTGTATATTCAGGCTGTCTAAAGCCAATCTCACTTACTACTCTCTTAAGATATTGTTCAAAAAAACAAAAAAGATATTAAATATAAATTGATTATGAAACAATCACAAGCAATCGTTAAATTTTCAAATGCATT